TCTTAGCTAAACAAGGTCTCATGCCTACTTTTTGTCAAAAACTTCAACCCTGTTACATTTTTTCAAGGAAATTCCTAGTAATTATTTATATTTTGTGCCTGAGGTGGGAACATGTAAGTAGTCCACTACCAGATGTTATGACCAAACATTTTGGTTTCATTTTTCAAAGATATAAAGACCCAAAAGGCACCCGATTCAGAGAATACTCAGAATTCTGCATACTGTAAGTACTTAATTATAATTAAGTACACAAATGACATCACCGCCATCTCTTCAGAGAGCTACAGGTGACCTGTGCAGCAACACATTTCAATCAATATTTGTCAATACTAAGAGCTGCTAGATTGAGCTGCTGTAATGGAATATATAAGGAGAATAAGAACATACCATGTGGTCTAGCTGGAGTTTCATCTGCCTCCTGATCCCTGCCTCTGGCCCTCTTTCTGATACTTCATCTTTATTCCTCACATATATTTATTCTTCTTCACTAATGTCTTCATCTCCTCCTCTTCCTCCTGCTCTGACCCTCCTGGTCTCTTCATCTCTCTTTTCCTTTTCCTCTTTCTGTTCGTCCTGATCACTTCTCATATGTCTTTTTGCTGTTGTTGAATCACTCCTATACTCTGGCCTGCAAGAGTCTACTTGTGAAAAGCACTGGTACAAATGCTTGTATAACTTTACACGTTAGGGCCATGTAGCCTAGCTAATATGTAGCATATCATAAATATAACATCAGAAAGTATTGATCAAGCGCACACAGGCAGCTGTGTTTGGATCCAGTTTTTACGGTAAAGGATGTATCCTGGTTTCATTGATCTGGCCTCATGGCTGTGATGTGTAGTTTACGTGGATTTAATAGGAGGCTACCGCGTAGTTTAACAAAGTGATCGATCTCCCAGCTAACGCTGTCTGCGTAGTATTTTGTGACGTAACGCCCCAAACAGCGCCCGTCTGTTAAACGCTATCGATTCAAACGGCAGCGTTTTATTAATATTTAGTTTCAAGCTCTCGTCCTTAGTAAAAACAAAACTAGTGGAAATGGAAATGCTCCCAGGGGAAGCTGATCCATAGGTGCTGGGACAGCTCGCTCCCTCTCTGCAGCGGTGTGAGCCGCGGTCTGTGTGAACGCCGCTCCGCAGTTTAATGCAGGGCCGTAGCTGCGTTTTTAACGGGCCTAAAATGATATTTTAAATGATTCACTTTTAACTAATGTAATGCTTGTTGTGTTGCTTGAGAAGCTTGTGGAAATAGTGTAGGTTTGTTTTAGTACAGTTTTAGGGAAACAAAAATTAGGGGGGCAGCTGGGGGGGGAAAGGGCCAGGGGCGTAGATCCGCCCCTGGTCTCGTCCCTTTACTCTAAATGTACACAGGGGTGCATGTCTATCAATGATCTCCATAAAACCAAGATAAAAATAAGACCATGCAGTTTCTACATCAGCACACAAATCGATTTTCCCCCAATCAAACCCCAACAGGTCATGTACAAAACCCTGCTCCACAAAATGTTTTATGTCTCTCTTGATGATAATACGAGGTTTAACCTTTTGGACCTTAGTATCCCTAATTGTTGTTACAACACAGTGATCACTCAGATCATTCGCAAATACTCCCACAGATAAGTATTTATAGGGAACATTAGTTAGAATGAGATAAATTAAGGAGGATTTATTTGGGGACTTAATGTTGGGGCGAGTAGGACTGTCAACAATCTGAGTAACATTCCAAGAGATACAAAGGTTTTTAAAATCCTCTGACACTGTAGTTAACCAGTCCCAGTTAAAATCTCCAAGTAGCACTATTTCCTTGTAGTCTAGTTGTGATAAAAGATTTGCTAGCGAAGACAAGGAGTCTTTAACAGCTGAGGGGGGTCTGTAACAGCTGTAGGAGCAAACACAATAGTGGTGGCTTAAAGCCCACCTCTGCTCTGCGCCGTCCTTTAGATGAGCCTGGTCAGATTGATAAAAGAGGGAGTTCAACACACCGGCATAAAAGTTATAACAATAATCTGATTTTAATGGTAAAAAACACCAATACAAGTTTACAGAGTACTCCGGACTCCCAGTTCTACTGCTGTGCGATACAGGTATCGGGACCAGCCAGTCAGAAACAGGGGGCCCCTTGCATGAAGAAACAACAGTATATATGGACATATTTGGGGCGGACGGCCACTTCTTATCTTCCACCGGACCCAACTCCTTTAATTTCCCAGGGAAGGTTTTACACAAACTATTCTTTTAAAACAATCAAACATTGTACACAGATTGAACATTGTACACAGATATATTGGTGCTTGGGATTATTCGCTCCAGCAAGAATCCTTGGAAAAAGAACATGTGTGTGTGTAGTGAGGGAAAGTGTATGTGTGTGTGTGTGTGTGTGTGTGTGTGTGCATGCTGATAAGCAGAGGCGTATGTGTGTGTGTTGCTGATATCTAGGTTAAGGAGTTTATGTGTGTGTGCTGCATGGAGACAGGAGGTGTATGTGTGTGTGTCAGGGTCTCTGGGTCATGGAGTGTAAGTAAGAAGGTTTAGATATATAGGATTACTTAAACAGTCCCAAATAATACATGTTCACTTCAATACAGTTCAAGATAATACCTGTTTACTTTAATACAGTTTAGAACAATATCTGGGTGCTTTACAGCCCACCACTATTACCTGTTGACCCTTTGCCACTTCTATATTTAAGGCTAAAAATTCGAATTGCTTACTGATAGATTTGGAAACTAATGTGGATACACTGAACTTATTCTTAACATAAATGGCAACGCCACCACCTTTATTAGGCCGGACGGTACACATTATAACCATTTAAGGCAATGTCGGAGGCCAAAATAGAGTTATTTAGCCATGTTTATGATAAAACAATGACGTCAGCGTCAGTAGAGCTTGCCCAAATGCGGACAAAATCTAGTTTACCTAACAGACTGTGCACATTCAAGCGAATGAGACCCAATCTAGACCTAGCTTTAAAATCAGCAGGAGTAGCGATCTGACTACTACTACTGGGCGGACCAGGGTTAGGTTGTACATTTCCTGACAGTAATAACAACAACAAAAAACAGGCATCTTTTCCTCTTAACCGACACACATACATTGTCATCTACTTTATAATCACCGGAAAAGTCTGCGAGAGTGTGATTAGAGTTTAACCCTTAAAGGCCGAGCGAGCCGCCCGCGGCTTCAAAGAGGTAGCGTTCTAAAATGCTTAATAACTTTTTAACCGCTAATCCTATCCATCTGATTTAAAAAGTGAGGTAAAGCGGCTATTCTAGGCTTTTCACTGGTATCACTATGTCCTTTTCCGGGATTCAGAGGCTCCGATGTGATCGGGGCAACGTCATCACATTTTACAGCCTTGATTCGTCAAGGAGACCCACGCGGCCCCTCCATCTGAGCCAAACAGCAAAGGTTTTAGACTAAGTCCCACCCCCCTGTGTCCGGATAGGTTTAAAATGTAAAGGTCCAGGCCAGAGCCCTAGAGAGATAAGAGTTACGACACTCTTTGATGTCGCCGCCAGCCGGTCACGTGGTTTATGTATGTCGGGATAGTTTAAAACGCACTTCCGTTGCAATGCTTCTCTATGGCAAAAACAGCACAAACATGGTCAAAATAGTCATAGATTAAACCAACGCTGTTATTTTTTAAGGATTGCTTTCATATTTACATGATGTGGTTACACTTTGTATGGATTGGCACTATTTATAAGTTTCGTTATTTAACTATATTTTGAGGGGAAAGTGTGGTAGCACAAGCAGGCTATGTTGCTGTCACTGCCAGAGCAGTCACGTCCGTAGTATAGTTGCGCTGCGCTGTCATGTTCTTCTATGGGACAGACAGACAGCAGCGATTGCATTATTGAATGGTAAATATATATATTTTAAAAAACACACACACCCAAGTACTTTTTCAGCTGTAATTGCATTATTGCATACTTTTTATTGACAGTTTTGCATTTGGAGAGGCAGGGTGACAATGGAAAGCTTAGTAGCCTATTACTTAGATACGTTTTACATTTTTGGAGGGAAACGTTTGTGTACATGTTAGCATGGGTAGCATGATCATGTTAAGACTATGAATATCATTTTACCACAACAGTGGATGAACAATTGATATATGTGTTTGAACAAGAACAACGGGAAGAACAAAGTAAAAGGGACGAACACATGTGTGAACAAGTATTAAGAACAGTGTATGGAAAAAGTGATGTGATGTTGGATGTGTGTTAGAACAAAACAAAGTAAAATGAATGAGAAGGAGAACAAAGAGGGTTAGGGTTCAACAGAAAAAGATTAATTCAGCCAAAAAAACACAATTTTGATTAATCTAAAGTGTAAAACAATCTTCAACACAGACCAAATTAGTGCCCTTGGACAACAAAACATATGGTGGGGCAAAGAAACGATAAATTAAATTGAGAGAGTGGGAGACTAAAAATGATTACTATGATAAATATTCAAACTATTTACAAAACTATTTACAGAAGCTCCTGTTGAACCAGCAACAAAAACAGGTTTGTCAACAATAACGAGGCCACTTTGCCAGGGGGAGGTGATCCAGCGACGAGACAATAAAGCAATTCATATTAGGTTCTGTTGAGACACTACAGAATATAAAACCTTCCAAGCCATGACCTCTGCCTGAAATCAGGACCACTCAGAGGAGAATGCAGCACATCAAACTGGAGTCAGGAGTGTGAATAACACATTTTGGCCAAAACAAATAGTTGCTTACCAATACAGTGACTGAACATTGGACACCAAAAAGTGAAAAACAGAAGCATAATTGTGCAAACAACAATTGTGGTGGGGGGGGGGGGCATTTTACAAATATTTACAAACAACTATTTACAAAAAAGCAACTATTTATAAAAAAGCAATACTATTTACAAAAAAGGGTTAGGGTAAGCAACTATTTACAAAAAAGCAATACAGAACTCTAGGGCATCCAGGAGCCTAACCATTTTCAAAAAAACAAAAAGGTTCCTTTGTGAAAGGGACATCCTCTTCATCTGTTTCCTGGGCCCTAAAAAGCAGAGCAAGAATAGGAACAGTGGTGAATAAGGGGAGAGAATACAGTTGGGAGCAGACTGAACAGAGGACATAGCAATATTCATGTTAAAATGTTTGCACAATAAATATGATGGCACTTTCGTTTATATTGCATTTTAATAGATCAGTTGTCATACCATGGTTGGATGTGCAGCATTTGGATGCTCTAATCGATCCGAGAAGGGGTTCCGGATGTATGGCTTCCCTAAGGACATAGAGCGAAGGAAGAGATGGATGGCAATGGTCAACAGACAAAACCTGTGTCTGACAGAGGACAACAACAACAGCAGAAAACTCTGTCATGTAAGTAATGTTCACAGAGGTGTCATGACTTGTTAACATTTTAAAGGGCATCATATTTCCAAGTGTAGAGAATTATGACTCTTCAATGACATTTGAAGTGTGGAGTGGAAACTGATCACACCTACCTACCTACCTACCTACATGTACACTTTGAAGACGACCAATATATTGGCAACAAATCAGGAGGAAATTTGAGGTTGAGGCCAGATGCTGTTCCAACAATATTTATACATCGGCCTAAGCCGAAAAGGAGGAAATCCACGTCAAGGAGTATGCCTCCAGCTGTCAGGAATGATGACCACACCTATTATGGCACATCAAACATTGGTATGATATATGAAGCTAACAATGTTTCCCATGTTATATAATTCAAGGATAGACTACACTCCTAATGCAACCTTCAAATTATACAGCTTCAAAACTACCAGGGTTCAGGGATTCTCTGAAGACTCATATACCACATGTAGATAATCTACAGATTTCTTCATACTTTAACATTGCCAATAGACGAACTTAGATGAATGTCACTATAGGAGTGTAGTGTACCCTTAAATGACAATAGGTGCACATGTAAAGGCAGCATACACATATAACAGCAATTGCCTTGTTATTGTTACAGAGATTCAGGGAGATATTGAGGTGGAGTTCCAAGGGAATGAAAGGGACATAACAGACAGAGAGAGTGAGACAGATGTGGGACGGGTGGCGCAGTGGTCTGTGCATCCGATCATCAGATCAAGGGGGAGTGCTGGGGAACTCCAGTTCGAAACCCGCTCCTGCCGCCACTGCGTCAGGCCGTTGTGTCCTTGGGCAAGACACTTTACCCGGATTTGCTCCTGTGGGTATTGTCCACAGTACATGTATAATACCAATGTGTACTTGTAAAAGCGCCTCGATGACCTCGAGGCGTGAAGATGGACGGTGTGGCGCAGTGCGCTGTGCAATGATCAAGGGGTGAAACCCGCCGCTGCTGCGTCTGTAAAGCCGGTGTGTCCTTGGGCAAGACACTTCACCTGAACTTGCTCCTGTGGGTATTGTCCACAGTATCTGACCATTGGATGTATGATATATGTGTAATGTGTGTATATGTAAAGCGCTTTGAGTCATTGAAAAAGCGCTATAATAAATGTAAGGAATTATTATTATTAGATGTCAGCAGACTGCCAGGGGCCAGTATGTCAGGGGCCGACAATCAAGAGGCCACCTTACCAGAGATCAGTGTGCCAGGAGCCAGTCAGTCAGGGGTCAGCTATGAAGAGGCCAGTTTGCCAGCGTCAGGTGCTCCAGGGACCAGACTGCCAAGGGCCAGTTGTGACCGGGCTCACGTGGAGGATCTAATGAGGCAACTGAGAAGGGAGAGATTACTAAGAAAGAGAGCAGAGGAGGATTAATTCGGCATTAAAAAAAAAAAAAAATTTGATTAATCTAAAGTTTAAAAAAATCTTCAACACAGACCAAATTAGAGCACTTGGGCAATCAAAAAAACGTGGGATACGGTGGAGGAAAGAAACCGTGAAAAAAGCAATACAACTAAGGTTCTGTTGTGGCACTACAGGATATAAAACCCTCCAAGCCATGAATATGCCTCTGCATATCAGGACATCAGAGGAGGATGCAGCACGTCAAACTGGAGCCAGGAGTGTTGGGGGAGGTGTTTGATATGCTGAGGCTGAAGGCAGATGGCATGAGTGAGATGGAGAAGAAATGTGTGCTCACCTTGGATGAGATGTCCATCACCCCTAGCGTGGAGCTGCATCTGGGAACAGGGAGGCTGTTTGGGAACACAACACTACCTGGCCACAAAGGCCAGGCCACTCATGCCTTAGTGTTCATGCTGGCTGGTGCTACTACGCGGTGGAAACAGGTTGTGGCTTACCACTACAGTGGTAATTCTACTGACGGTGCAGTGTACCGGCCCATAATACTCACCACCGTTGAAGCAGCGGCATCTATAGGGCTTCATGTGGTTAACATCACTACTGATATGGGGAGCCCCAATAGGGCTATGTGGAAGTCCTTTGGGGTGACCTATGACAAGCCGTGGACAGCACATCCTGTGAAGCCACACCAGCACCTGTACTTCATGCCTGATGTTCCACACGTGGTGAAGAATTTAAAGAGTGCCTTGGTGAATGGTCACGTCATCACCATACCACAGGATGTGGTAGACAAAGAGAAGCTGCCGTCCAGTGTGGTGTCTGTTGGCCCCCTGAAGGATCTGGTGTCATACCAAGAGGGAATGGCCCTAAAACTGGCACCTAAGCTGTCTAGAGCCTAGTCATTTTGAGAAAATTAAGGTCAGTTCAGCAATGCACGTCTTCTCCAAGTCATCGAGTGCTGCCCTGAGGTACATGGTGGCAGAGGAGCACAGACCAGAGTCCTACCTTACCACTGCGTGGTTTTTGGAGACGGTGGACCACTGGTTTGACCTCATGTCGTCACGCAACACTGTTACTGCCCTAAGTCATTTCAAGATGGAGGAGTATGATAAGGCCATCAGCTTCCTCCGGGACTCCATCCATCTGTTTCGGGGCCTGAAGATCGGTCCCAAGGGCAGCTGGAAACCAGTCCAGACAGGACTGGTGATGGCCACAACAACAATCCTGGAGGTCCAGCATGACCTGTTGAGACAAGGGCACAAATTTGTTCTCACAAGCCGCTTCACTCAAGACTGCCTGGAAAACACATTTTCGTCCATTCGTCTGAGGAACTCTGTCCCAACACCTGTAGAGTTCCAATATGCTCTGCGCGCTGTCACTGTGGGCCAGTTCCTATCGCCAGTGCATACTGGCAGTTACGTGGAGGATGGATCAGACCACTTGGCAGACATCCTGGACACGCAGAACAGCAGCTGCAGTCCTCCTGACGTTCTGAGAGTGGAGCAGCTAGTAGACCTGACAACACCACCTGACATCACTAAAACCGAGTCCTGTGTGCTATACCACCTTGCAGGATACATTGTGAAAAGGGTCATCAGCTTCTCACTTTGTGACAAATGCCAGTGTGCCCTAGTGAAAAATGTCAGTGATGGTGAAAATGAGAGAGCTGGTCTGCTGGTATTAAAATAATTGAAAAGGGGTGCACTTTACCGTCCATCTGATGAGGTTTTCACCCTTGTTCAGAACGTGGAGCAGCTGTTCCGTGTGAGGACGAGCGATTCCCTCATGGAGTCCTCAAATGCAGTGTCACAGCTGGAACAAGAAGCCATGTTGCTGGACAGCAACCTTCCCTCATGCCATGACCTGAAGAAAAAAATCCTCTCAACATACATCAGGCTGAGGTTAAGGATTGCACCAAAGTGCATCAGGGCTGAGAGGAAGGATACACATAAAGGGTATCTTGGCAGCAAGAGTCAGAGTAAGAAGGCAAAGAAGACCCAACAGACCTCTGCACCGAAGGTCATAACATCTAGGCCACTGCCAAACACCTTACTCGTTGCCATCGATGTACTTGGCATCTCCATTCCCGGTCCACCGTCAGCAGCCTCCAGCCTCCTCTTCTTTCAGCAGTCATCACCTGCAGCCGTTGCCAGCACCAGCCTCCTTCAGCAGCAGCAGCCTCCTTCAGCAGCAGCACCCTCCTTCAGCAGCAGCAGCCTCCTCCAGCAGCAGCAGCAACAGCCATATGAGGCTGACATATGAGGCTGAATAAAAAAAAAGTGCTAATTATTTTGTTTATTTTGTTAAAAATAAACATTTTGGATGCATGACCATGTTTTAGGCTCATCCTTCATTCACTGCTGTAGAGTAGCCTATTCAGTAGGCTATTATTTGTTTAAGACTGAATAATACCTTTGAAGAACAATCATTAAACTAGTGTGTATATTACAATACAAAGGAATCTATCCTAGCATGCCATCAAGCATTAAAAAGTAGCGCTAGGCTAGTTGTAGAGTACAGATGAGTTAACACGGAACAGTACAAAAAAAACAAAGTACAGTCAACATGTCACATAATGAAATGTTAGTATATCCCAAAATTCAATTAAATATTAAATGAAATATTTATCACAAACGCCACCTCATTTCTACTAGTGCTAGCAGTTAAGTCATATCATACAGAACAAGCCGACTAAGGATGGCTGACACGGTCAGGTTCAGCGGATAAAAACCAAAATAACAATAAAAACACATAATCAATCTAAATCCTGCTTGTTAGTTACCCAGCATCATTGATATATAAGCTGCTAGCGATTAATTACTGAAATCTTATCTTCAAGTAGTGAAGTCTACGTTGAGACGTAATATCTCTTCTTTCGAGGGAAGGGGGGGGTCAAAGAGCCTAGCAGAGTTCCCGTTAGAATATTTTTTCGCCGGTCAACATGTCCGTTAAAGTTTAAATCTTCCGGACAAAATGAGAAAAGTGCCGGTCAAAGGTCTTCTTTGTTATTTATTGAGCTTTAAAACAAATTGAAATGATTCGATATTAAACAAACTAATTATAGTAGATTAACTACATTATTCAAAAGTGTACAAAAAAAAAAAGTGTGACAACCCGTCAGTATCATGCAGCTCGCGGATCAGTAATGAGTGACCCGACAGTAAAACTAAACATATAACTAGTTTAGGTAGTTTGAGAGGTAATTAAAATAGCTACGTGTGATATTCTAACCTGAAGTGTGTGTTTTGTCCGCTCACCGCTGCATGTGATCATGCAGAGCTGCGTGTCGACTCGTCAGCAGCAGCTGATCTCTCTCTCCCGTCAGATTAGACTTCACTCGCGTTTATGTCAACCTGATCTCACCAGAATGCGTGACTCCACCACGACTCCTTAACACCGCATTGCGTGGTAGAGTCACGCATTCTGCTACATTTACGTGTCGGCACCACGCAAAAAACCCCAATGTAAAGTGAATGAGGCTCCTTTGTCGTGGTGCACACACACATTTCTACAACGTCCCACAGTGAGCTTTTATTCTATAAAACGTTTTTAAAATCTACTATATAGCTTGTATAGCTACTATTATAGCACTCACGGGAGACTTCTTTTATTTTATTTGTATTCATAATAATTTTTATTTTTCGTCAGAATGTAAAAATTATATTAGTTACGAATTTTTGTTTTCAAAAAACAGTGTGTGTAATACAACTGTGATTTTTATTAAATTAGTTAGTTTTTAAGGAAGGCCAGAGCTTCAGCTGTGTCAAATAGATTGTTCCGTTTAGTTAACGTTATTTAAAAGATAATGATCATGTCCCCTTTATTGTATTACGAGCGTCCATTCCCATTGGATAACGGAGAATTTTACACCCGGAAGTAAGTATTCTCCTTACTGTCGATTGATTTTACAGTGATATCTGAACTACTCATCAACACCAAATTATCCTTGTTAATTACACAACATTGATTGGTTTAAAATGTGTACAATGCTTTTGTATTTTTCCCCTTCGATTCGGAGAAACGAATATTTTTTCGGAGTTTTTGGATGGCAGAAGACACTACACTACCCAGAATCCTCAGCTATCGTTTGGGACTACACCATGTGCTTAGCTTGACAAACCCCGTGATCAGTCCTCAAGCTCTGTGATTGGATGTTGGAGTGGCAGTGCGCGAATTTTACACGGAGCGTCAAAAAGCACCTTGAAATGGAATGAAACCCATCGACGGCACACTATTCAAAACAGGAATCTAACGTGTCCTATCCCTCTATGTAGCAGCCAGATGAATGTTATGAATGTTGTTTCAAATATCAGGTGTTTAATAGTCTTATGGCCTGTGGGATGAAGCTGTCCCTGAGTCTGGTGGTTTTAGTCCGGATGCTGCGGTACCGCCTGCCAGACGGCAGCAGACAGAACAGTTTGTGGCTGGGGTGATGGGGGTCTTTTATAATCCTGAGGGCTTTCTTTAAGGTTAACGTGGTGTTTTTACTGCACTACATTTATTTTAGTTACTTTAAAGATTTGGATTAATGATGTGAAATATAAACAACCCTTAAATCAGACTTTAGTTACACCTGAGTAAAATTCAGTGAAGGTGATTGTCAAGTGCCAACAATCAGGAGAGATATTTCATAGTTGGTGCTTGAGAAGACTAAATATGTATCTGCAGATCCGTATAAAGCATATCCATTACTCGTTATTCTCTAATCGTTAATTAAAGACTGTATATAATTGATATTTTGCACATCCCTTTCAAGATTTCAAGATTTTCAAAGGTTTATTGACATATCACAACTACGGTGTAGTTATGTAATGAATGCAAAATTGGGTCACAGCAGGTTCCTCAACAGTGCATTACAAGACATCTATCAATATGTGTGTACCTCCATAAACTGTCATATTCTGCACATGTATTATTCTATCTACATACATCTTATAAGAGTATAATAAATATGTATAATATCGGTTAAAATAAGTGCTTCAACATAGTTAACATTGCAGGAAAGTTGATTGTCAAGTTCCAAAACAAACCATGCAATATATTAGACGTTAAGTACTTTGTCAGGCTTAATATGTATCTGTAGATAGATACCCCCAAAGCTTTTTTCTTATTTAAAAGAAGACCTTAGCCTAAAGTATTCTTTAATGTTTAAATAAAGCCTTATTAGTTTGTCTGTTTTGCACATCCTCCTATCAGGCACTAAACTGTTTTATTGTAGATATCACTTACAGTATCTTCTTGATATTTTCTATTCTATATTTATATCATTGACCTTCTACTTTCCCACTATTTTGTATATACTCTTAATATTTAAATGTTTTCATCAAATATAACACATTCAAAAGTGCTTTACAAAAATGAAAGACATTAAGAAAAAGGCATTTTAAACAGTCATTAAAAAGCAACATAATCTACCTGCATTGCAATTACTCCAAACGTGTAATAACGTGCTTTAACCAGTAGGTGGTTTGGGTTAAAAAGCTGTCAAGTTTACAGTGTTAACAAAATAAAATATACTGCTGTTTCTGGTTT